TCTTGTTTATTCAAATTGTATTAATATGTAAAGACCAAGTGTAACATATATCATCATTAAATCTTATCTTATAAAACCAATGGAACTTCAAATCATTAAAATTCATGGCTCCCGCCGCATTGTGCGGGTACATAACTAGTTACTATTCATTTACACCAAATTTTACGTTAATAGAATAGGGTTTTAAAAACAATACTCAGAATCTAATATTTTGGTGTAAGACTTGTTGTTACCCATTAGAGATGTCCTACGTCTTAATCGATACGTCACAACCCAATTAATGTTTCGTTAACGAGAAAACCTACAAATCGAAAGCAAAATAATCATGAATTTTTTTACTAACAATAAAGTAGTAAAGTTTTAACCACAAGGGTGGTGCCTCATTGGTTTGCACTTGACTCCTAGGGTCAAAAATGTTTGAAGGTCTCAGGTTTAAATACAAGAAGAAATAAAAATCCCCTTGTGGCCACCTTCTCAAATACGATGACTCCGGACTACCCACAAAGTAAGTGATCATTTTGAAATTAGCCGGTTTGTTTAACGGGTTAGATATTCAGGTTAATTAAAAATAAAAGTAAAGTCTACAAAGAGATTAATGCATTCATTAGTGAATTTCTTCAAGTTTTAGTTTAGTGAATTGAAGTACTTAACGTACGATATGATGTTAATTAAACCCTCAAGTTAATTAATTAAATTATTTAATTAATTAATCATAGACGCTTCCTTGAGGAATAATTAAATAAAAAGGTTCATATGTAATTTATTAAAAATATCTGAATAAAACCATATATAAACTTACTTTACAAATTATTCATATTTTCTCAGTTCAAATTGCAGGCTGCAACTCGCTTGTATGAAGCCGGAATCGCTAGTAATCGTTGGTCCGCAGGTAATGGGTTCATATATGTTTCATATGAATTTTTTAAGGGCAAATTACACGAAAAAGTAACGAACGTTAACTTGATTCCTGTTTTGAGTAACGTACTTTCAAAACTTCCATTTTGGTACCCAAGATGTAAAGTTTTAAACATTTAAGTACCCAGATAACTTGTCGAAGCATTATCGGTTACCATGCTGATGTGGCGAGAGATGTGGTATCCAACCGGTTAATGTTTCATCCAGCTACTCAGGTACTTAAATGTTTAAAACTTTACATGTTCAATTTATATTTGTAAATTTAATTATAAAAATTAATTTCATTAGAAAAATATTAACGGGTCGGGCAGGCCTACCCAAAAAATTTGTATAGCTCATGCCCGACATTAATTTTAACAAGTCAATCTGGGCCCACCCAAATCTTCAAGAATAGTAGTTCAAGCCCGCTAGAAAAGCGGACAAAACAGGGCGGGTCCAACGAGCCGTCCCACCTGTAAACCGTTTTGATTTTCACGATATTTAGCCTTTTTATTTAGACTTCCAACTCCTCTTCTAAGTAATTACTTCATTTGTTCCAAATTAAATGTCCATATTTTTATTTTAGTTTGTCCTGGAATAAATGGCCACTTTCAACAGTAAGTTTTTGCTTTCCCATTCTACCCTTAATTATGAGATGGAGAAATTTTTTCTCTATTATCAAGGGTAAAAATGTCATTTAGTTATTAAAAAGGGTAGTAATTACACATTTAGTGGCCGTTTACCAAATGCTTACTCGGGTAAACGCTTACCAAGTTACATTACCTTATCGGATGAATATGACAAAGACTAAAAATCTTACCCCGTAAGAACGAGACAAAGATCTAGGGGCGTGTAGAAAGTCATACGATCCAATTAGAACCAACCGACCATCAATGGATATCCAATTGTAATTGGATTTGATCGGATCCAAAATTTAAACATCCAAATCGAATGTCCAATGGATGGAACCGATCCGATCCAATCACCCACTTGATTTGGATAAGATCGGATGTCCAATGTTAATCGGATTGGATCGGATGGCAAAATCCAACATCCAATGGATGATTGGATCGGATCGGATCCTCCTAAATCTCATTGGATCTCAACCGATGAACACCCCTCTTACCCGGTAAGTGAGAGAAATGACTCTTACCACGGTCAGCTCTTACCGGGTAAATTGTTGCATAAAAAACCGTTTTTTTGACTAAAATCTTAGCCGATAAGTAAATGATAGTGTTGAATTTTATCGTCGAATACTTACCAGGTAAGTGTTTGATAAACAACTCATTTGATTACGTCATATCTTTTCGATTATTTGAAAAAGAAAAAAAGAACGTGTCTGCATTAAATACATAGTTAAATTAATAACTCACAAAAGTTTAACTTGTAGTTTCAGTTTCCATGCATAACAGCCCACCACCGCACATGCCGTTCACCTCGATCGCCGGCCGGTCAACCCCCATATTTTCCGGCCACCCTATATATCTTCCAAAACCCACCATTAATCTCATCTCTCTCTCCCTCTCTACTTCTCTCTCTCTCCCTACAATGAAGGTTATAAAAGTAATCTTCATGTTAGCCATCACTCTAGCCATCACCCTCACCATCACCTTCACTGGTTCCAACCACGAACCAACACCGATCACCGAACCATCATCATCGGTCGCAAAACCGTTTCCGAAAAGGGTTAGTCGGTTCCTAGCCGAGTCCAAGAACCCTCGAGCCACGGACCACTGCTATAAAGACGACGCGATTTGCTACATCTTAGAAGGCAAAAACTCGACTTGTTGCAACAASAARTGCATGGATTTGAGYCARGATAAACAMAATTGTGGAGCATGYAAGAATAARTGYAAGTTTACGAGYTCGTGTTGCCGWGGGGARTGCGTGAATTTGGCTTACGATAAGCGGCATTGTGGGTCGTGTGGTAACAAGTGCATGCCGGGTGGTTATTGCATATACGGTCTCTGCAGTTACGCGTAATTTAACCGGTTATTTGATCTTTTAAATCCTGCTTTCAAGTGGGATATATATACTGTATTCGATTGGTTTGGTTTTAATTGGTTATTCGATCACGAATGCATGTAATTTATCATGTACTGAGAGGTTCTTCGTCGTTTCAATCGTACATTAATTGTTCATACTATCAATGAACGGAAAAAAAAATCTGTTGTTCCAAAATTTTCGGTATCAGTATCATATCTCTGTCCAACCAATCACACGCACACGTATAATTATTTTATCTGATATGAATTTATTTAGTTGGTGTTTTATTCTCTGTTTATTTATACGTATTCATATGATTGGTGAACATGGATGATTGAATGGGACATGAAATTTTAGGACAACAGGTTTTTTTTATTAACCTGGATATCCACGCACCGACTAATCCTTGGGCGACAACCCGCTTCACGGGTAGCCTGGAGTCACTGCATTTGAACTTTCGTGACCACAAAGAGGATTTTTATTCCTCCTTGGGTTCGAACCTGGGACCTCGAGACACTTTTGATCTTTGGAGCTCAAGCTCAAACCAATTGGGGCACCATCCTTGTGGTTCAGATGAGAGATATTTTACAAAGCACTAGTATAAACCATACAAACCAATTAATTTATGGCATTTATAGAATTGGGGAAAGGATCGTGTGAAAATGAAAGTTATGGTGAGAATAATAAGAATGGATCTGAACCCCTGATCACTTTTAATCACATGCCCATTCAAGAATTACGTTTTAGAAATGAATTGATATGGTGTATCTCGATGCACCTCGTTAGTGTTGACATTCAATTATGATTGATCAAATGATGGAGATCTCACCATATCTTCCTTCGTTAGTTTTGGGAAATCTGTTGTAGCAAAAACCTCAATTTTAAAGAAGCTGTCAGAGATGCTCTAATAACCTTGGTTAATTACGATCATATTCAACTCTTTGCTATTACATGCACGGGTCCATCGTTATATACAGTTAAACTATCGAGTACTGCAATGTCATTTGGGATTTATCTGATTGTTCTTAATCAAATCCCTGATATTAGTCGAGGTACAGACAAACTGGACCGAACACCTGCAGAAAAATTAAAATCCATGTTCAAAGTCGTCCAAAAAACACATGTTTGTTTCTTGTAAAATACTTTATTTTTCCTTTTCTACCATGTTCCATTTTCTTTCCATCAATGTTTGTATGCATTTAATCAAAAGTGCACATGTTTTGGTGTATTTGGTATCTAAATGGGATAGGGCCTATATAACACTAGTCTTGATCCTCAGTCGGGCCATGAAATTTCCTAAAAACCGTAACCAGTTAAGGACCATTAAATCAGTCTAAGTCCTCTGTCGGTCCTGAACTGTACCGAACCCATTTAACCATCCAATTGCCCCGTTTTTAAGCTTTAATATCTATACTATATTATAAAGCATTTGACAAAAACTTTTAAAGACAATTTTTTATGCACGAAGTATTGTTTATTGATGCATATTAAAACATTTGACAAAAACTTTTAAAGACATTTTTTATGCACCAAGTACTGTTTATTGATGCATATTACTTAAAATTTAATATTACAAGTAAATTGTGCATAAGTACAACTTATTAAAACTCCATGTTTGAATTCGTGTAACTAACTGCGGATAAATATAATCAAATAGATGATATACATCTCATTTAATTTAAATATAAAAAATCTAAAATATAATTAGGATAATTATTGAGTTCTAACAGAATACTTAATTATTATCTTTATAAACAATTATATTATTAGACCTAAATTAAATTACTTTAAAAAATTTGAATTAAAGAAATATCACAAAACTAGAACTTTAAATAGTTAATTTAATACTATTATCCATATATATTTTTTTTCAAAATTTTATGATATTTTAAAATTTATATTTTATTCAAAAATAAAAATATTATCGCTTTCTCAAAATCAAATAAAACCCTATTACTTCGACATAGATAAATAATAAAACGAGACATTGAAATTATGATATATTTTGATGCATTACACAAATACCTTTTGATTATAAATAAAAAGATAATTAAATATATCATCGTATTTTTATCATGATTTGCGTTTTGTGAAAATAAGTGGCATGGTGCAGTTAACATGTTTCAATAACAACCTCACACTTTCTAGGGTTTTGTGTATATACCGGAAATATGATCAACAGTAACCGGAATCGTACAACCAGAAGCATCCATGGCTGCTCAGGCGGTGGAGGGTGCAGCGGTGACGGCTCTGCGAACGGTTTTTCACCGGGTCCGGCAAGCGGCTGAAAGATCTGGTCGCCATGCGGATGATGTGCGAGTGGTGGCTGTTAGTAAAACCAAACCTGTATCTCTCATCCGCCATGTCTACGACGCTGGACACCGCTGTTTTGGGGAAAATTATGTCCAGGAGTTCATCGAAAAGGCTCCTCAGGTCCTCTTTTATATCTCAAGTGTTTTATATTGGATTGAATATTAAGAGTTCATTTCCATTGATGAAATTGAGTGATTTATGCAGCTTCCCGAGGACATTGACTGGCACTTTATTGGGCATTTGCAGAGCAATAAAGCAAAATCCCTACTTGGTGATGATCCATTATCGCTTTAACTTTTTTTATTAATTCATGTTAGAATCCGCTTTCTTTGAAATTTTGAATGAAGTCTGGCCGATTTTAACCTAGAACCCAGCTTAATCACATTATAATATTTCCTGTTTGTATTTCAGTTATGTGAAATTGTGAATAGAGATAGGATCAAAATGAGAAGTTTCTCGATTTGCAAGAAGGGGAGAAGTTCTAAGATCAAATATGATTACACGTATACGAACGCATAATCGAATGAATAAGCGCTGGCGACTTGGTGAACGCCGTGATGTGTTAAGTCAATGCAACATGTGTTTAATCATATATGATTAAGTGTGCGTATCACGTCTAATCATACATGATCATAGAACTTCTTGCCTTCTTGCAAATTGACCACTTCTCATTTGAACCTGAGCCTATGTGAAAAATGGTGTTATTGAAGTTATATGTGTCTTTTCGTGGTAAATAAATGATGATGTATGTTGAAGGCTTATATTTTTTGTATCCAGCTGCTGTTCCAAATTTGTCAATGGTACAAGGTGTAGATAACGAGAAGGTAACTTCTAGTCTCTATTGTTTTTAGTAGAATACAAAATATCTAGGTGATACATGATTAAAATCATATTGAAGTGCTTGAGCCAGGCAGAACCTTCTCATAAGTTGACCTAATAACCTCAAAATCAACTTAAAACCATGATGGAAGTTATTGGTATCCCACAACTTTGAGTTTATATTAAGCTCACAAATCTACTTATCTATCCATGTGATATTGGTTGTTACATAAACTTGTATAGCGGAGTTTCATGTATATCCATATATCATATTTGCTTGCTTTATCCATTGGTGCAACATGACACTTATGTTCATTGTGATCATATGATGTGTTTCATACTTGATGATATTAATAGCAAATACTTGATGGTTTCATACTTAATTAACCTTGCGGGGTAGGCTAAATTCGCCCCTACCTATTAATTTCCTTTCAGGTAGTGCTATATGCACCTCTATAGATGTTAAAATCAGGTCAATTCATGCATTGGAAATGTAAAAAGTAAGTGTTGATGTTGATGTGTGTGAGAAAGACTTACTTTTTACGTTTTCTGCTTATGATTTGACCTAATTCTGACATAAATAAGGGTGCATATAGCAACACCCTTAACTTGCCTTATTCATTCCCTGTTTACTCAAGCCACACGATAAGATAGCTTTGAAGCATTTCTTCCTTTTTGTATCAGACATTTAAGGTTCATTGCTCACAATGACCCATGTGTTGCCATTTCTTTTGGATTCACAGATTGCAAATCACCTTGATCGTGCAGTTTCAAGCGTTGGAAGAAAGCCGTTAGCGGTTATGGTCCAAGTAAATACCAGTGGAGAGATATGTAGGTGAAGAACATCCATGCATCTTTTTTCTGGTTCTCTTTCTGTCTTTCACCCGTTATAACTGTACCATGAATATGTGGTTTGTGATTATAGTATGATACCCACAGGAACTACAGTTGATTTCACTGTTTCCGTTAGTATTTTGCAATTCATGAAGTCTTTTGGTCATAAATGCTTAAAATTTATCCACTATAACCCTTATAAATAGAAGGGCTACCGGTCAGAATTGTAGTTATCATGAGAAGGGTAAGAACTAAGAAGGGATCTCCACCCTTGGATCAATCTTAATTGAAGATCAATTGAAAATGCCCTTCTAAGCTAATTCATGGGTTATTTTGGGACTTAATCTGAACCATTAAACCAACACTAATTAAAAGTGATCAATGATCCAAATCTCTTCTTACACTTCTCATCTTAACTCCTATTCTCACACGATCCTTCGTCTTCAATCACATCCTAGCCTTTTTTTACCATGCTAAAGCCACTTTTAGACTGCTGAGCACAACTAATCACAATTGGGTTGATTTATAATCGTTTATTTTGTGATTATTGCAGCAAAATCTGGGATTGAACCAACAAGTTGTCTAGAGCTTGTGAAGCATGTTAAGTCTAGCTGCCCAAACCTCGTGTTTTCTGGCTTAATGACTATTGGAATGCCGGATTATACATCCACTCCAGAGAACTTCAGAGTAAACCTCTTATTTTTCCTTCCGAAAGAGTTTAAGCTGTGCAATCAATGAGTTTTATATCTTTGCCCTCGGGCTTGTAGCTCAGTTGGCAAAGAGGTCGAGCGACTTTGCTCAAGTACACAACAGGTTCAAGTTCGAATCCATTAGGTGAGAACTTGAACCCCTCCGCTAGCCTCAGTCACTGAGTTAGCTCGAGAATGCCTCCCCACATGTGGTTCTTAGGGGTGATTCCATGTGGGGCCGGTCAGGGTTGCCTGTAATCAACCTTCAGCTAAGTGGTTAAGAAAGAGCATTGCATGTCGTTCGACCTCTCCTTTTAGCTTGTTGATTGACTCGGTTTTGGGTGGTTGAGATATTTGATGGTTTTTTTTTAATTTTTGGATGTTATAGACTCTATCAAGATGCAGAGTTGAGGTCTGCAAGGAACTTGGGATGCCGGAAAACCAGTGTGAATTGTCAATGGGCATGTCCGGTGACTTTGAACTAGCGGTGAGGAATATACTAGGGTTATTTTAGTCTTTTTAAATCTATGACCTTCTGACAAGTTTCTAGGCATTCATGTCTATAGAACAATTGAAGTGGCATTTTTCTATTAAGCAGTAACATTCTCAAACCTGTCAGAAGATTATGGATTTGAAAATATTAAAAAACTGTCAGATAGTCATTTTTGTTTAATATATATCAGAAAAGTCAAGGGGCAGTTTGGTTGGTTTTCCATTAAGTCCTGTTATGAAGAAAAGAAAGTTGATTGTATGGATTAATCTGTATGTATAAATTGAGAGAGTTTTTGTTTGGGAAGGTTTTTCATAGATGGAAGGAACGTATTTTTAATTGGGAGGGGCAAGTTTGGAAAGGAAAAAACTTGTCTTTTTGCATAAAGCTCTCCTTAAAAGCTTACCGTATAAGCCACCCTTTATATTATTAAGTCACTACCAAACACTCTTATATATCGCGTCTTCTGTTTCTTTGGATACTCCCTTTGTCCAAATATTTCGTATTGTTATTTTCGTCATATAATTACAGCTCGTGACAATAGTTTCGTGTGTAATGTTAGAATTGCGTGTTTTGGTGGAGGGAAGTTGATTAATAACGCATCCGGTTATGTGCAGATTGAAATGGGCAGCACAAACGTGAGGATTGGATCAACGATTTTTGGACCAAGGGAGTATCCAAAGAAACAGTAGACGCGATGATCGTATTGATGAAATTTCTGCAGTTAAATTAGTTACGGTCACGGATCATCTTCTGTTGTTTGACGAACCGAACTTTCGGGTCGTATGCCGATTATAAGGACTGATGGTTATGTTACAAATATACTCAGATACCATATCAAAATTCATTATTTTTATGACTGGATATATAAGTATGTACAAAGTTGTTTGTTATATATATAATTTTATATAAAGTTTGTAATGTTATGTTTGGTTGTTGAGTTCACGTGAGATCAACCTGTTTTTGTGAGATCTATGAGACCATTTTTTTACACTTATTTCACGGCAAAACGCTTTGAAGGTAAAAAAAGGCCGGAACCTTCACAACAAAAACACTGTGAAGATTACCTTCACAACGTTTTGCTGTGAAGTTTCAAGTGTAAAAAAGTGGTCTCACGAAAACAAGCTGGTCTAACGTGATCCCAAGTCTATATCCATTATATTATTTTCAGACGTTGCTATCTACACATATGTGATTAGAGATAGCAACAGGGAACGGAGATTATAGCGGGGAATCAATGTTTTTTCCTCGTTTGCAAATTTAATTTTTTTATATTATCTTTATAAATATCAGTTACACGTTTGAACAACATATTATTCTAAAACTTTAATTTATCAAATATTTTTTTATTAACCTGGATATTCAACCCGTTATGCGAGTCGACTAATCCCAGAGTGACCATCTGCTTTGCAGATAGCCCAGAGTCACCGCATTTGAACATTCATGGTCACAAGAGATTTTTATTCCGCCTTGGATTTGAACCTGGAACCTCTTGGTACTTTTGACCTTCGAAGCCAAGCTCAAACCAAATGTTCATTTATGTAAGAGTAGCTAAAAAATAATTATATTAATTACAATACTTTTTATTCAAACAATCAAACCAATACTATAATGCAGCGAGATACATCTCAATTTAATGTTTCGTTTTATCATTTGTTTCTGTCGATTTTATAATACGGTTTTGTATGGTTTTAAAAAACGATAATGTTTTTATATTTGAAAAAATATAAATTTAAAGACCCCATAAAAATTTGAAAATAATATATCGAAATTAGCATTAAATTAACAATTTAAAAGTTCTCGGTTTTTTTTGTATAACTTTTTAGTTCGATTTTTTGGTATAATTTAATTTAGATTTAAAAACGAAATAATTTATTTTAGATTTAACAATATAATATTTGTTATAAATATAATAATTAAGTTTTCTGTTATAACCTAATAAGTATTTTAATTAAATTTTTAATTATTTATATTTTAAAATGAGATATTTTTCATGTATTTGATTATGTTTATCAGTTACTTACAATGTTATATGAATTCAAACATATATACTCATGTACCATTTACTTGTAATCTTAAATTTTAATTAATATATATTATTAAATAGTATCTGATCTATTAAAAATGGTTTTTAAGAGCTTAACTCAAATGTTTTATAATATAGTATAAATATTTTAAAGGTTTTTATTAATAGGGACGAAAATCATAATTTTTAAACCATAGGGACAAAATCTGCAATCATTAACAAACCATAGGGACGAGAAACGTAATTTACTCAAAAGATGATACCTTTTTTACATACTGGACAATGGAATGATTGAGAATTCGTAAAAGAAGAGAGAGATGTCTTCCATAGATTCCGGCGATTCACGGGGAAGATTATCGGAGAAGATCATCTACACCTACGGCGTCGACATCGTCTCTGGCGACTATGTCGACTGGGAAACAGGCGAAGGAACAGTAAAATGCACGATTAACATGGAAGAATCAGTTGCCGCTGTAGAATCCATCTTAGGATACACATTCAACAACAAGAGTCTGTTGGAAGAAGCCTTGACGCATCCTTCTTACTCCGAAAGTCCTTCTTATCAACGGCTTGAGTTCGTCGGTGATGCTGTCCTTGGACTCGTAATTTCCAATTTCGTTTTCGTCACTTACCCTGATCTCGACCCTGGTCAGCTATCTCTTCTTCGTTCCGCCAATATTAGCACCGAGAAACTCGCTAGGGTTGCGGTCAACCACGGCCTTTACAAATACGTGCGCCACAAAGCCGCCGCGCTTAATGACAAGGTATTACAGTCGTTCCTACATGTATCTGTAGTTCTGTATACGATTCTATTGGACTAAATTACATTCATGTCACTATTCGTTTGCCTTGTTATTGAAACTGGAGGATTTGATTTTTGATATTGTTAGGTTAGGGAATTTGTGATGGCGGTTCAGGAAGAAGATAATATGGTTGTTCATGGTGGACATATGAAAGCCCCTAAGGTTCTTGCGGATATTGTTGAATCGGTGGCTGCAGCTGTGTATATTGATTGTGGATCAAACTTGCAAATCATATGGATGGTGAGTGTTTGTGTCCCTGTAGATTTGTTAATTTTGATTTGAATCTCGGAATGAAAATGAGAAACTGAGTCGTCTTAAATAAACCATAAGTTTTGCAACACTATAGTTTGTGTGGATTAATCCCAATCTGTATAGGGGAGGTTTTTGTTTGCTGGGTTTTTTATAGATGGAAGTAGCGTGTTTTTTAACTGAGAGGGGCAGGTTTAGAAAAAACTAGGCATTCTGCATAAAGCTACCCCTGAAGCTTACTGAATTAAGTCGCTTTCTATATCATTAAGCCACAACCAAACAGTCATGTATGGCCGACTATTAAGCCACTACCAAACAGTCATGTATAACTGACTGAATAAGTTACTAGTCCCATTAAGCTTGTTAAGCTGCTAACAAATGGGCCCTAACTTGATAATAACTTAGTTGTGAACTAAAATAGTGATACAACTATGCAAGTGTTCACTATGATCCATTTCTTCTATTTTGGCTTTTAGATCATGAGAGTGCTACTTGAACCTATTGCGATGCTAAATGACATCGAGAAACAACCGCAGCCTATTACATTGCTATACGAGGCATGTCAGAAGAATCAGAAGGATGTTATTATAAGGCACTGGAGGAAAGGTGAGAGCATGCTTTTGAGTAAATTTGCGTCTGTTCTAAAAATCCTCGGTGTAGTAGCATCATGCATTCAAAAAATGAGTTTTTGGGTAATTGTTTCTAATCATGTAAGCTTAATGCATTCAGAAATCAAATGCAGACATTTCTGTTGGACGGAGGAGGGAGTTTTAAACAAATTCCATCTTACTAAATGCTGAATTGAGTCATTGACGATAGCTTTTATATATTTCTTCAGTTTTTCTTCTTGGACATATCCATGGAGACGTCAAATTTACCACCATTATCACATTTTCTCACTTCACATGTGCACCTTCTTTTTCGGTAGAAAAAGAAAAAGGAAAATGTGGTAAAGTTTGGTCCCCAAATATCGATTTTTACCATAATAAAAGTTAAATCAGAATATGCTAACGTAGCAATAATGTCCGAAGCTGAAAGTGATAAAACAGCAGTAGTACGAATTTAGGGTTTATGTACAGGAATTGTTAGAAACTTTGGCATGGGTTCGGCAAAGCACACCTTTTGCCTAATTTTTAATTTATTTGGTCTCTTGATTTTCTGGGTCAATTTCTTGAATCAATAAATCACAAAGATAAAAATATTTGTACACGGAAACATCTTTTTTTCCAATTTAATCGAAGCAGGATTTTACACATATCATGTATTGACTGCAATGTGTGATTCTTTTGTTCCAAAAAACAATCATGTGTAGGATGTACATGGATGGTATTTGTATATATTCAGATTCTTATCAGAAAAAACTAATATTATTTGCATATGCATCCGAGGAGAGAGACGCAAATATGATTATTGCCATGTCTAAACTATTTTTACACCCCTAGGTGACAGAAACATCGCGAGTGTTTACGTAGATGGCAGATTTGTTGCCTCTGGTTCTTCGGACAATAAAGAGAACGCAAAGCTGCATGCAGCCGAGGCTGCTTTCTCCAAGTTAACCAGCTCCAAAAGCAGTGACCCAGTGAGTACACAGATGTATGATGATTTTAACAAAACCATTGAGGTTGAAAGTGCGAAGCAGAGAGTACACGAGCTTTGCAATAAGAAAAGGTGGTCCAAGCCGATTTACAGGTATGCGATTGTTCTATGTTATATAAAATGTTATCTTTAAGTTTTAGCAATTCGTGTCCTGATGATAGTTTATCATATGATTATCTCTGTTCCTAACATAAAAACCAAACAAATCCAGTATATTCCACACAGAGGTAGGGTTGGGAAGGGTAGGAACATGTTACAAAGTTTAAGTTACATAGTTGGTTAGTAACTTCTGATGAATATCAAATGAGTAGTATCAGAAGGCCCAAGGGCGCCATACTATAGGAGCCCAAATATTATACAACCTCCAAGATCATTTTTTGAAAAAGGAAAACGAGAAAAGATGATAGATCCTCCGTCCGCGCAATGCACCAAATGTCTTTGACGCCAAAAAAAAAGTTTTTAGATATCAAACTGACCTCCCTAAAGGTAATTTTAATGTGGCCAATTTCCCGTCTTTTTCATAGTAAGTGGTTTTACAGTTTTTATACATGCATGTGGTATTAAAGTAAACAATTTAATTTTTTTTTCCATCATTAGTAAGTGGTTTTTGCAGTTTCTATTCATGCATGTTCTATTATGGTAAATAATATAATATTTTCCATCATGTTGTATATAGAATTGCAATAGGCCATATTTAGATTAGTAATTCATTGCAAATCTATACTTATTAGGCATTTAGATTAATTAAGGAGGAAGATAATCGAGCTGCATTACTTAAAAATGTTGAAAGCAATAAGAAACCAGATAGATCATATATCCGTTTAATGTCATGTTCACCTTTCGGTCATTTGTGCTGGCAGTATCATTCTAGAGGTAGACTTTAAGGGTGTATTTGTTAGCAGCTTAATGAGCTTAATTCAGTCAACTATACATGTGTGTTTGGTAGTTGGCTTAATGATATGGGAAGTGGCTTATTCAGTAAGCTTCTAGGGGGAAGCTTTATGTAGATAGCCAAGTTTTTCCAAACCCGCCCCTCCCAATTAAAAACACGCTCTCCTTCCATTTGTGAAAAAACCCTTCCAGACAAAAACCTTTCCAATCCATACAAACAGGTTAATCCACAGAAATTGGGAGTTAGGTTAAGAAACTGTCAGATATAGGGCTATTAATGGATACCCACAAATCCACATATCCATCCAAAGTCGTGACTGGTTTGACAAATGGGCTACATCAGATATTACAATTAACAAGATCAAACCAATCAGATCTAGTAAATCCCACTCGAAAGCAAGGGCTGGGAGCGTTGAGATGTACGCAGACTTGACCTCTACCCCAAATAGTAGAGTGATTGTTTTCGTGAAGACCCCTAACATGTGCAAAAGTAAGAGCAAACATCTAGCACGAATGAAGATTAACATATGGTGAATGAAGCACAAGAAAAATTAGTAGGAAAAAATAGCTAACAGGTACATGGAACACATACAGAAGTTAAGGTAACACAATGCTACCCACACAGGGAAAGTAAGGCAAAAGCACATCCCAACCTAAACTTCCAGCCCCATTTTTGGGTTTTTTTTTGGGGGGGGGGGGTTCTCAACCTGTCCAGTTTCCTTTTTTAATGTCCTCAGAACTAAGACCCCCATGTCCAACCTCAATTGCTTATCCAAACTTTGGTAAAAAATTTGGACCGGAGAGGCTGTTTGGTTCGTGTTCCATCAAGTCCTGTATGGATAAAACTGTCTGCGTGGATTAATCTGTTTGTATAGATTGTGAAGATTTTTGTTTTCATAGATGGAATGAGCGTGTTATTTAATCGGGAGGCACAGGCTTGGAAACAACTTGGCTTTCTGTATAAAGCTCCCCCCCAAGAAGCTTACTGAATAAGCCACTTTCTATATCATTAAATCACTACCAAACAGTCATGTATAATTGACCAAATAAGTTCCGAGTCCCATTAAGCTCATTAAGCAGTGGTGGTGTTTGATGTATCATGTATCTGATATAATAGTGTATAAATCCACTATCCCTAGTATACTCTACTTGTTCACCTGTGTCAGTTTGGGGGTAAACCAGATCTTGGTCCATGGAATCCCAAGAAGGTAAGGATGCTTTTAAGGCTTTCAGCACTAAATCGATCCTCATCTCCGACACACAAGGAAGGACGCGGCGGAAAGGAAGGAGTGATTCCTCACCTATCCTGTCGTGGACCAGTTGAACGCTCTACCAAACCTTCGCCTATCCCGTACTAGCGTGCAATGCCTTCAAAACTTCTTTGTAGTAGTTGTCAGTCTTGCTAGCGGGGATAGATAGTCAAATGGCCTATGAGGAAGACATCTCCTGTTCTTTCTTGAATGTGGAACCGTTTTAGATCGTATCCGCCCACGCATCCATCCAATGCATTCTTTTCGATCTTGTACCCACGGAGCGGTCAGTGTTTGAAGGCTTGATTCCTTAGTTAGTTTTGGGATAAGTCTTTGATCCGGTTTAGATTCACTTGTCGACTGAACCCTCAAGCAATACTAGGAGTAAGAATTCATTATTGCAACTCATTTCATCTCTCTGTTTTGGTTTGGGCTGCAGAATTGAGAGTCAGTCGGGACCTGCACACGAAAGAAGATATATATCGTCGGTTACAATTAAAGTTTGTGACGTGATTCTTGGTGTGGTGGGAGATGAGAAGTCGAGAGTTAAGGAAGCAGAGAGTTCTGCGGCCGTGGCAATGCTTTGTGCACTGCGAGAATCCGGATATATATGAGTGTGCAAGTGTAACTAACAAACCACAAAGAGGTCAAGTATTATCATCTCTTTAGAAAAGCATGTCTAATCCTGTGCAGTAGAATTTTGTTGATATTAACCATTTTGATTTCCTCCCTTTTTGTTGAGCAAAAGTGAGAATTCCATGGAGTTGGGAGGAGATGGATACAAGGATTTAAAAGGCGGAATCGGGTCTCGAGGAGTAAGCCCCGATGCGGAATTATATTTAGACTCAAATATTTATATATACTAAATTGATATATATATACAAGACGAAGGATCGTGTGAGAATATGAGTTAAATTGAGAAGCGAAAGAATGGATTTGGACCCTTGATCACTTTTAATCTCACACCCACCCTATGAATTGGCGCATATCACAGGAATTGATTTGGTGCATGTTGGTGCACCGTATTAGTGTTGATCTTCAATTAGGATTGATCCAAGTGTGGAGTTCTTTTCTTATCTCTCTTACCATAACTTTTTATCATTACTTCTATTATCATCTGAACCCAACCCTTATATACACAGTGTATATATAGAGAGAGAGTTAGATTCTGGTGAGAAGGATCTTCAACCTTGGTTCAATTCTAATAAGAGATCACACTAATGAGATGTACCAGGTCAATTCCTGTTAGAAGCGCAATTCATGGGGTGAGGATGAGATTAAAAATGATCAAAGGTCTAAATTCAGTCTTACATTTCTCACTTTAACTTCTATTTTTACACGATCCGTTGTCTATATATATATAGGGTATGTTGAAACGAGAAACTAAACATTTTGCAAAAAGACGAGAAGTTTATGGTATCATATATGATTAAATGCATGATGCAAAAGCTTAATCATATATGACTAAACAAACCTAAAGGAATGTAATCATATATGATATTGGAACTTCTAGTCTTCTTGCAAAATATTTAACTTTCTATTTGATCCTTCCTCTATATAGGGTCAGGTTTAGCTAAAAACCGCAAGTTTTTTTTGATGAACACCCTAATAAGTTCATCTGGATGGTATACACATGTACATACAAGTAATTTGTAACCTTAAAAGTATTTACCAGTAGCTAGATTAAGAAAAGTACTTTAATGTTTTCTTTCTGAAAGAGTAGTACTTAAATATTTGATGACATTTTTTCAGTAATAATTTTTTTTTCCAAATATGTTGTTCAAAGTGGAAACTAAGGGACCATTTACTAAACGTTTATCCAGTAAGTGTTTATCGGGTAATTTTCCTTACCGAATGAATATGATAAGGGTCAAATATCTTACCCGGTAAGAGCAATGATAAAGATGAAGGGTTTTACTCGGTAAGTGAATGTGACGACTCTTATTAGGTTAAGCGCTTACCGGATAAATTGTTGCATACGATATCATTTTGATGTACTACAATCTTACCCGGTAAAACATATTACAACGTTAACTCCTAACGTTAAGAGCTTACCGGGTAAACATTTAGGTAAACGGCCCCTAAAACAAAATGTGTTCCCTCTTCATGCAATTTGTCTACTTTAACTAACAATCCTAATCGATTCCACACGGAATCGTCTTCAAAGACATCAATGTAAGGAGACATTTTCTTACTCATTCAGTGATTGAACCCGGGATCTGTACTGTATTTGAACAAAATCGCCCCGTCCTGCCCCTACATGTTATGTATGCATCTAATTTCTTAGATCAAGTATTTAAAATGTGTTAATAAAATTAAAATGTAATGGAAGTCATTAATGTCACACAATGATCACTTTATAAATAAAAAAGCAAAGTAGTGTATTTTTTTTTAAATGATAAATTACATGAAAAAATTACGTAATTTAACTTAATTCTTATTTTAACGTATTTTCAAAACTTTCATTTTAGTACCTTAGATGTAAAGTTTTAAACATTTAAGTATCCGAATAACTGGTTGAAGACTAATTCTAGATTAAAAAAAAATTATGTCACTAACTATGTTAGCAAATAATACTGAGTTGGATACCACATCAACATGATAATCGGTTAATATCTCTACCTATTACTCGGATACTTAAATGTTTAAAACTTTACATCTTACGTACCAAAATGAAAATTTTGAAAGTATGTTACTCAAAATATGAATCAAGTTAAAGTACGTTATTTTTTCATGCAATTTGCCCTTTCACAAACAAATTATTCATCGTCCAAATGACGACAAAAAGAAGACGCTTAATAATTAGTGTTAGTGACGTAGCTATTTGTGTTGGTACTCCATGTTCGACCCATATAAAACAGACAAAAATATCTATCGTTGCTCTTATAAAAGTGAAGTAATATATATTATCTTATAAAAAAAAAGTTGAGATCCATTCAAAATATGTAGGGAAAGTCATGACCCATCCCATCCCCTTATGGCCATATGTGGACCATTTTTTGAATTTGGTCTTTTTGTTGTTAATTTCTTGTTTGTGAAATGAACCGGATGTCTTCTGAATTTAATATGACTGTTAAGTTATTAACTAGTATACATAGTTGTTAGCCTTAATTAGGGTAAAGAGTTCATTACCAGCAATCACAACTGGTCACACACGGAACCTATCTTCAAGCCTCAAGGGCACCAATATGAGGGAGCACTTTTTGTCTCACTCAGTGGTGGAGGCTAGTGGGAGGAGGGTTCAGGGTCGAAACCCATGACCTGTTATATGTTATGTATTTTGGGCAAAGTCTCATGCAAATGTTCTCATTTTGATTTTACTTCGTGTAACCACAATCGCTTAGCTAGATTGTAAAATGATGTACTAAAGCTTTAACTCGTAATTTAAGTCGGGTTGTGGTTTTGTTTGAGTTGGATTGAGATTTTTCAGATCGCAAACATTAGGTTGTATTGTTTAAATGTCTTCAACCTGATTAACGCAACCCATATGTGGCACTAAATGCGAGAACTAAGAAAAATGTTTGCGTTATTTTATAGAACATTTTTATAATACCAGTTTTGTTATTATGATAAAATAAAATAAAAAAGATAAAACAACATATACAAATAATTAATGCAAGAAAGTGACAATACATTAAGGTTATTCTTTTAACAAATAATTTAGGTGGTGTTTGGTATGAAAGTAACATAATAATATAAGATTGTTTTTTTATTAACCTGGATATCCAACCCGTCATCGGAGCTGACTAAGGCTAACATCTGTTTTACGGGTAGTCCGAAGTCACTACATATGAACATCCGTAGTCATAAAATGATTTTTATTCCTCTTTGGATTTGAACATGTGACCTTCAGACAATATAAGATTGTTGTTATAATACAAATATAAATTCATGTGTTGATTACTATGTGGAAATAAAATAAAATAAAATAAAATTGTTATTTTATTGTGAAAAGAAAAAGAAGAGACATGATGTTATCCATTTGGTATATGTAGTGAAGCCATAAGCCAATCAGGTTTCTTGAATGGGCCCCACAAACAGATAATGTTTTCGTCAGTAAAAATCTATTGTCCCATAACCTTATGTCTTAGGGGTTATTTGACGGTTGCTGAATGGTTTGATATAGAATGATTAAGTGGTAAGAATGATTAAGAGGCTCTCATGATATAATGCAACATGAAATATAATTGTTCGGTAATTTTTTACAATGAAATTAGGGTACTGAATGGTTAAAAGAGGCCTAGGATACAAAATCATTTAGAGGGTTTTAGAACCATTAAGAGGCCGGATTTTTTTATTTTTATTTTGTCAAACAAGATTTATCTCTTAACGATTCAGAGACTGTCTCTTAATAGAACTATTAAAAAGTAAACAAACAACCCCTTAATCTTGTCCCATCGATGAAATTAAGGGGGTGTTTTGGTTGACTTTCATTAAGTTCTGTATAGATAAAAATGTATCCCTATATTAATCTGTATGTCTAATATGTCTATATAGATTGGAAAGAGTTATGTTTGAAAGAGTTTTTGCATAGATAGAATGAGCATGTTTTTTAATTTGAAGAGACATGTTTGGAAGGAAAAAAAAAACTTGACTTTCTACATAAAGTTTCCTCTTGTAATTTCACTGAATAAGCTTCTTTCTTTTTTATTAAACCATTACCAAATAGTCATATATATCATACCGAATAAGCTGTAAGTCTCATTAAGCTCTTTAATCTGCTAACAAACAAGCACTAAGACACATCAAGTTTTATCAATACTATATTATAAAGCATTTGACAAAAACTCTTAAAAACCACTTTTTATGCGTAAGATACTGTTTATTAATGCATATTACTTAAAACTCAAGATTACAAATAGATTGTGCGTAAGTATAACTTATTAAAGCTTCATATTTGAATTCGTGTAACTAACTATACATAAACATAATCAAATACAGGATAAACATCTCATTTTAAATATAAAAAATCTAAAATATAATTAGGATAATCATTGAGTTTTAACAGAATACTTAATTATTATCTTTATAAAATGTTATATTATTAAACYAAAAATAAATTATTTYATTATTAAAYTTAAATTAAATTATAATAATAAAAAATTAAAGAAATTACATAAAAAATGAGAACTTTTAAATAGTTGATTTGATATTAACATTGATATTTTTTTTTTCAAATTTATATTTTATTCAAAAATAAAAATCATTATTGCTTTCTTAAAAACACATAAAATCGTATTATAACATCGACAGAGACACATAATAAAATTAAAATATTAAAATCGAGATGTGTCTCGTTGCATTGCGCATGTACTCTTCTAGTATATTTTAAATTTATTTAATTTAAGTTTACACTCTCTCTTTGATAATGTATGTTCATGTGATTGGTGAACATAAATGAGACTTGAAAATTTGAGACGGAGATTATTATTTTTGGATATGTTTTCAACCAAAAAAAATCAACAAATTGTAATTTTTAATGCATTAATTATTTATACTTTTATGTTTTTAGATGGTACTTAAAGCTTATTTAATTTATATATAACTCTTTTGGTAGCGGGCTTAATGATATATAAAATGATTTATCCAATAAGCTTCCAATACGGAGCTTTACACATAAAACCAAGTTTTTTTTTCAATACTTGTTCATCCCAATTAAAAACATGTTTTTTCTCTGTGAAAAAAAAACCCCAGATAAAAATTTTCTCAATCTATACAGACAGATTAATCCATACAGACAACTTTATTCATACATGACTTGATAAAAAAAAAACTAACTAAATAGCCCCTTAGTAATGGCTGATAAGCATATACTTCCATGAGGATTCACAAACATTAGTCGGTTGATTTTTTTTCTTC